TTTGGGTCTTTGCTGGGCATGCTGAATGGAATGGTAGAGAGTACTAACTCTCCCCATGGCCATAAAGCAGAAGAGCAAGAAAGGACTGGGGCCCACAATACCTCTTGGGGACAGGCCCTCAATGACACAGGGACTCCCATGAGGCCCTTTTTTTCAAAGGTCCATGGCACCTCCCAATAGTGCTACCAGGGCATCAAACCTTTAACACAGGAACCTTTGGGGAACATTCAATGTCGCCAAATTATAGCAACATATTTATTCCACTGACCACTATGAATAAATTCTTTGAGAAGAAACATTAAAAAAATTTATATGTGTATCTGTATCCCTATACACAGCAAAGTGCGTGGCACTTGGAAAATATCAGTAGTTCTGTGAATATGGGCAAGCTCTTCCTTGCTCAGGAGAAGTCTGCTTGGCTTGGCAAGCTGTATATTTCCTTGTATCCCTCAGAGACCTCTTGTTATTGGTAGACCCCTTGGTAAATAATGGTGTAGTAGTCACTCAATAAATGCTGGTTGTTTAATTGCTTTTAAAGAAAGATAAAAGGTTTTTAAACTAACCTGTGTGTCTTGGGGATGACTTATATTTTTCATTTCTGGCTGTCTTTTTGACATTCTAAAAGATGAAAAAGGATGTTTATATCAGCTGCAGTAAAAAATATCAATTTTTTTCTTATAATGTTTTCAGAATAAGGCATATGCCTCATGGAAATAAAATTAAATCAGATTTTATTTTAAAAACAAATAATTTTCCAGATGTGAGATTCCTTTTCTGAAGTACAAATCTCATCTCACCGTTTACTGTTCCTCATCAATCCACAAGCTTAAAAATCTGTCAGCGGTTCTCCAGTAACCGAGAATAAACTACATGTCTTTCAAGACCCTGCCTTACCTCTCCAAGTATTAGTAGACAGTCTTGAGTACATTAGGAGCTGTATGCAGTCTTTTCTATTTAGGGAGAAAGATGGGACTGTGAGCAAACAGACTCTGCATCTCACGCAGAGGTACTTAGTGCTCCTGAATCCCCATGTTGTATGTCATAGAGCCTGTACTAAGAAACATTACAATGAATCTGAAATACGATTTGGGCAAAAGTTGTCTTTTCATAATTTATTACAACTAAGCATTTGAGGTTGACTGGTTAGTGTATCCTCTTTTCCAGAATTCTTTTATGAGAATTAAGCTGTGCAGAGGCAAACAGTAAGATTATAAGAATAGAATAACATTTTAATTCTTAGTGCTTGCTGGTTGATTGCTAACCACTCTAATACATGTCTTCCTCCCTCCCCCCTTTTTTGTAAATCACAGTTATGAGGCCTGGCACCTTACCAGGGCTTTGAAGGGTCTGCTCCCAGCTGCACTTCAGGTTCTGGCAGGGTGACAAGATGTGACATACTTTTGCACACAAGACATCCTGGTATGGCCATCCGAAAGCCTATTGAATGACTAGTGTAGAATTCTCTGGATTTTGAAGAAACTCATTTTCAGTGTTTTGTTTATTAATGAAGTAAATGCCTGATGTAGGTTATCTGTAGACTTTTAATGTTGTTTTTAAAAACAACATTCACTTGGGGGGCATGTAGTATTTAAAGCATTGTTTTGAAATGTTCAAAAGCATAGCATGTGCTTTTTAATGAAATGTGTTTTGGAAGCTTTCCATGAGCATCAGCAGCTGTGCTTTTTGAATATTTTGAATTACCATACTTTTGGGCAGACATTGTACCACTTACTGCTTAAGAAATTCAATGATGTACAGAAGAAAATGTCTTATTTAGGTCTGTAGTGCTGGAACGAGTCAAAAGAAGAGGTAGGAAGGACATGTAGTTGTGATTATGTGATTGTAATAGTTGGAAAGAAAGGAAGAGGAAGAATTTGGATAAGGGGTTGCGCTAGTCTTTTTTAAACTGCCTTTTGGAGACTAGCCCAATAAGTGTTCACTGATTAAGAGGCTAAGATAATATTCACCATTTTTTTTATTATGGTTTGAATTGTGGACTTAAAAAAAATTGTATTGTGAGTTTATTTATATGATAAATTATGCAATAGAAATTGTATATTTCTTGTATATTTTGAGTGTCTAATACATGCTTAGGTGTCCTGTGGGTAACTGGTGTCTGTGTATTGACTTTGAAATTAGAAAAGCTTATGTTAGCAGTTTAAAATTTTGGTACAAATTTTGAGTTTGGGTAAAATTCATTATTTTTCAATAGAAGAAACCACTGTATTAGTGATCTGTGGCTGCTATAACAAATTATCATTTTCAGAGTAATAAAATCCCCAAAATATTTTCCTGCAGTTTTAGAGACTATAAGTCTGAAATTAAGTTGTTGGCAGGGCCATATTCCCTCCAAAGGCTCTAGGGGAGAATTCTTCACGTGTGTCCTCTAGTTCTTTGTGGCTCTAGGCATTTCTTAGTGAATGGCTATGTCTTCCATTCCTGCTGCCTCCTCTTCTGTAGTCTCAAGACTCCCTCTTTTCCTCCTTAGAAGAATACATAGGACCCACCCTTACTCTACTTAGGACCTACTCCTATAATCGAGGATAAGATCCTCCTCTCAGGCTCCTTCATCACATCTTTTACTGTTTAAGATAATATCCATAGCAGCCAGAGATTAGGAAGTAACATAGCTTTGGGGGACTTACCTTTAGCCCACACACTCCTGAAGCTTGTTTCTCAATATGGATGAAAAAATAAATTTAAGGCTAAAAGCATTAGATTGAAGAGTATCTTATAAATCTCCTGGTATCCTGCTCACATTTCAGTTGGGTATATTGCCAAGGAGAGGAATTACTGAGTCATTTCTTTAATTTTTTAGGTAATGCTAATCCTCCCCCCCCACCAAATAGATGTACTAATATGTGACCTGTTGCATCTTTGCAAACTTTGTCCATCTTTTTGTTTTTCTCATTGTGATTTTAATTTTATAAAGAATTTCTACACATTAGTAAGAAAACAAGTCAATAGAAAAAGTTGAGCAAAAGACTCAAATAGACATTTCACAAAAGAAGATATCTAAGTGGCCAGTAATAAACAAAGAAAAGGTGCTTAACCATTATTTATCAGGGAATTACCTTTTAGCCTTTTGAATATACTTTTTTTCCAATTCCCTGAATTATTGAAGATATTGTCCCATGTTTTAGCAGCATTTTTTTTTCTTTTTATGTTTAGATATTCAGTCCAACTATAATTTATAATGTAAAGGTGTGAGTTTCTTTTTTTCCACAAGATAATGTGGTATTCCAACACTGCTTTTTGAAGACACATTTTCCCTACTGTTTAGCAAAAACTACTTTCATTTTAAATTATGTGTCTTGAGTGAGCAAATCTCTTTCTGGACTATATTTTGTTCTATTGATATCTTTTGTCTATAATTAAGTCAAAGACATACCATATCATCTTACAGTAGATTTATAAGTCTTGATATGCAGTAGATAAAAATCTTCCCATATTGTTTCTAAAAATAATTTCCATTGCTATTGGCTTTGGCCTTTTGCAGTTCTATGTACAGCTTTGAGTCAACATTTATTGTTACACATATCTACATGTGTCCCTCCCCTTTAGATCCTGATTTATATTGGATCATCTTTAGATCAATTTGGAGAAATTTATAGCTTTACAATGTTTTACAGTCTATACACTTAGCTCTTTCATAATTTCTCTCAATAGTAAGCCATAATTTTTCCATAAAATATCTTGCACATCTTTTTGCCTAGATATTTGATCTTTTTGAGGTTATCTTTCATAGTCTTTAAAATATTTTGTTTCTGATACATACAATGAAATTGATTTGTGTAATCTGTCTTGCTAACTTGCTTTTTCTAATAAATTTCTCTGGATTGTTTTAGATTTTCTACATACACAATATCTGTAGTTTTTTTTTCCTTTTTAAAATTTTTCTACCTTTTATTACTTTATAACTTCAGTACAGTGTTGAGTAAAAGTGACTGTAATGACTTTCTTGTCCTGATCACCTTCTCAAAGGGAAGAGATTTTGAGATTTTAAAATCAAGCATGGTGTTTACTGTACTCTTTTGTGTACATCATTTATTAGATTCATGTGCCTTTAAGTTACTAATTTGTTAGATTTCAGAGACCTAACAGTTGCTTTTGCTAAAAAGCACCGACTCTTGGCCCTACATATGCCTAATGGGTAGCTAAAAGCAGGATACAGTTTAACATCTTTGCTTTTATTTTATATATGTCTCCTTTATTACCTTAAAATTTTAGGTCAGATTCCTACTCAGCTCTGCATATAGTAGGTATATTAATCACTTACAGAGTACCTGCATAAAGACTGGTTTCTTGGCCCTAAATTTACCTAGCTTATCTCATGCTTATTCAAGACTGAGGACACTAAAATAAGAATAATTAGGATATCCTCAAGATTTGCAGGGGCATTAAACTGCCACCTTTTATAACCTTCTATTCCGTACCCCTGAAGTGTCACTTAGAACTCTGTGGTCATTGCCTTAAACCAGCAGACATCTTGGATTGCAGCAGACCCTCTGTAGACAGATCACCTCATGATGAGGTCCGTCCCCCCCCAGCAGGATCAGTCATCTCATGTGAACCGGATTGCCCACTCCTATGGTTTATGTATAGATATCCCTGCAAAGCCTCATAGTAAAGATTTTTTTTCGGGGGGGGGTACTGGGATTTGAACTCGAGACCTTGTGTTTGAGAGGCAGGCAGCAGAACCACTGAGCTAAATCCCTGGCCCCATAGTAAAGAATTTTGAAGGGTAATTGGATTATGAGGGTTTGTAGGTGATTTCGTGTTAGGAGATGGGGTCTGGTTGAAAGAAGTGGGTCAATGGGGTCGTGACTTGGAAAAGTCTTTCTTCCAGGCTCCTCTGTCCATCCCCTCTGCTTTCTGGCCTCAGTAATGAGAGGAGCTCTCCTCTACCATGCCCCTCTGCCATGATGTTCTGCCTTGGAGCCAACCGAATGTGGATTGAAATGTGAGCCAAAATAAATCTCTCTTCCTTTATATTACAGGCATTGGGTATTTTGTCCCAGTGCTGAGAAAAATGACGAAGACACCCTCTCACATGATGAGGACGTCTCTGGAGCCACTTTGCAGACTGGAACTCAGACAATGATCAGCCAGACCCTTGCCCGCCCACCCCAGCAGCCCAGAGAAAACTTGCCCGTTCCTTTGTCAATGGACCAGTCTGATAATCTCCAGTGTGTGCCCCTTCAGCTTTTCTGGGCCTGAAGTCCCTTTCCCGTTTTTTTCTGTCTTCTTAATTAAAGCTTTGCCTGCATTCTCTCTCATTTTTGCCTGGTTTTTAATTTCTGTTGTCAGTGAGTCAGATGACCTCACATCCAGTACCAGATTCATTTCTCTCTCTCTTTTTGACATGAAGCCTATGTAAAATTAATCATTTTGCAGTCAGTAATTCAGTGGCATTTATTATATTTACAATGCTGTGTACATTATCACCTTTATCTAGTTCCAAAATACTTTTATCACTCAAAGCATATTAAGCAGTCAGCGTGTCCACTTATCCTTCCACCAAACCCCTGTTAAGCCACCAATCTGCTGACTCTTATGTATTTACCTATTTTGGGTGTTTCACATAACTGGAATCATACCCTGATAACAGCAATGGTATTTGATTGTAGTCCTAAAAGTCTCTGAGCAGCAGTTGCTATTTTTTGTCTGTTATTCCACTGGGATAATTTCTGTAATCTGTTTCCCTCCTTTTCCTTCCCCTTCCCTCATCTTTCTTTCTCCTTCTCCCCTCCCTTCTCCTTCTGTCTCCTCCCCTCCCCTCCCCTCCCCTCTCCTTTCCTCTTTTCTTTTTCTTAAATGAGGTTTTTGTTTGTTGCCTAATCTGACATTGAACCCCTGGGCTCAAGTGATCCTCCTGGCTCATCCTCCTGAGAAGCTGGGACTATTGATACATGCCACCATGGCTGGCTTCTTGCCTTTTCTTTTTCCTATTTCTGCTATTGAGCTCATCTACTCAAGTCAGTCAATATACGTTTTAGTTCTAAAGTCTTCTGGTGTTTATTAATTAAGATTTGTATTTCTTGGGCTGGGGATTTAGCTCAGTGGTTTCGCTGCCTGCTGCGCAAGCGCAAGGACCCGAGTTCGGTCTCCGGTACCAAAAAAAAAAAAAAGATTTGTATTTCTTTGCTGTTACTTTCTCTCACTTTTTAACCACTTAACAGTTTACCCAAAGCATTACTTGGGCAGCGTGTTTTTTTAGGTACAGACTATCCTGAGCATTGCTCAGGCAGGTGTCATTTCAACCAGTCAATTCTTGTTTTGAATAAATTTGATAAAATTGTCATTTTTATATTTCCTGTTGTATTATCTTATAAAAATTAACAAAAATATGCAACTTTTGGTCATCTTGTATTTAAATAATGGGACTGCTAAGTGGTTAAAATCTTGTTTGTAATTGCTTGGTGAAACTTTTTTAAAAAAATCAGGACTCCTTTAAAGTCTTTCTCAGATAACCATAACATCTCTGTTATCAGTGTTGGCATGTATTGTCTCTTATCATTGGGTTTAAAAATCTGTATTCATGATATGACTTGATGTTTTCTGTTGAAACTGGGTCTTTGGGTCCTGTGTTAAGACTGTTGATGCTACTTAAATGTTCTTTTAGTTGGCTTTTTCTGACTCTACTCTGGCAGGGAAAAAGGATTCCCCAACTGGCCTTCAGTGACACCAGAGTTGGGAGGGTTCCTCATTATTTCCAAGTAACTTGAAGTCTGGCTTTCCATGTGCTCTCCACTGATGGCTGAGGAGGGTGCTGTGTTATCCCTGGGGCAATGGTACCTGTCTTAATTCTCTCCTAGGCCTTCTGTGACAGTTCATTCATAGGGTGAGGTACGTGGTTTTCCTTACTTTCAGTGGGAATGTAAGTTTAGGTTTCCCCTATGTGTTTTTCAAGGACCTTGCAGGAGCATGGGACTTCATTACTGCGCAGAGAACATGAAAGCTCTGGGAACAGTTTGTACTCAGCCTTTTTGTATACCTTCCCTGCAAGTTGTTGGCATACTTTGTTACGGCCTGGTCAGAGTGGAAGCCTGATCTCTTTCCTAGGTCTTTGCTTGTGTGGATGAGGTAGTGATGGAGTAGATTGTAATTGTCTAAAAGTTTTCTGTCTTCCTAGGTTTTCCCTTTCTTGTTCCTTTGGGTGGAGGGCAGGCTGTGAAGGATCCATTGGTGTTTGCTGGTTGCCAGCTTCTTTGGCTTTGAGTCTGAGATATACGGAGGAGAGAGCCTGGGGAGCTTAGCACTGTGAGTGTTCTGACATCTCGAGGTCATTAGCTGCTCTGTCTTCTAGTCTTCATTTGCCAGCATCATATTGTGTTTGTTACATATGTAATGCCCAGGACATTTAATTGTATTAGTGAACGTAATAGGGAGAAGGAATACAAGTATTCTGACTTCCTGGAAGCAGAAGTCTTTGTCCAATAAGTTTTAATATGTAATATCAGTTTTCATTTAGTTCTAGTTTCTAATTCTATTGGGACCTTTTTTTTTGATTCATGCTATTTAGAAATCTATTTTTTTGCTTTCTAAGGACATGTGGCTTTTCCACTTACCTCTTTGTGTTGACTTTAGTTGCATTGTGGTAAGAGAACATATACTGTATAATTTTGATCTTTTTAACAATTTTTTTTGAGATTGTCTTCTAAAAATTACATATTTATAAATGTTATATGCATGCTTGAAAGGGATGTGTAGCCTGTGGTTATTGGGTAGTTTTCTATATGGTAGGTCAGGATGGTTTAAATTGTCTGTTTTCTAACTGTTTTTTTTTAATCTGATTATTCTATTAGTTATCAGTAACGGTTAAATTCTCCCCTTATTGTTGTGAATTTATCTTTTTTCCTTGTTCTTAGAATGTTTGTCTTAGATATTTAATGGCTATAGTAAGTATAAGTTCAAAACTGTCATACTTTTCTGGTGCATTTAGCCTTTACTTTATGAATGTCCCTCATCACCTCTAATAGTGTTTGTTTGACTGAAGATCTCTTTTATCTGACATTAATACAGATCTACCATCTACCTTTGGATTAATGCTTGCAATATCTTCCTTTTTCTTTCACCCTTTCCTTACTCTTTATGTTTTAAGTATAAAGAGCTCTTGTAAAAAAACATAGTTTTTTCTTTTGTCTTTTTTTTTTTAAAGCAAATAACTTTATTATCATTCCTTATTAAAGAACCATGTAGGAAATATGCAAAACACCAACAGCTGCCATTCAGGGGGTGAATGAAGGACCTCGAAGTGCAGAGCTGCCTGGTTTCTAGGGGGGATCTCTGCAGTGGGACCCAGGAATCTGCTTTTCTAAAACAGGCTCTCCCGCTAATATTCCACTGGCCACAGAACTTGGTAACGTTTTCCCCTTCCGAAATCCAGGCTGGAACGCGACTAATCCTAAACTCAAACTCAAGAGCTGCACCCGATCCCACCTGTTGTTTTCCAGGATGTCAAATTCTGGAGGAAGGACATTCTGGCTGTCATGTTTTCCCGGCTAAGGGCACCTGTCTAAGCGTGGACCAGTGGTTCCACCACAGTGTCACCCAGCTCAGGCCGTGCTCCCCACCTGATGTCACACTCATCTCTCTGTGACACCAGGTGGGGAGTAAGTCCAAGAAGGTGACAAGAGGCTCCTAAGCAAGGAGGTGTGCTGGCTGCTGGCGGAGTCTCCACCAGTCCCCTAGGAGCCAGTGATGTCCATGGCGCCAGGACAGAGATGTCATAAGGGAGCGAGCAGGAGACCACACTCGGGGGAGCTGGCGGGCCTGGGGCGCGTGGGTCCCAGACAGTGCTGGAATGAAGGCACAGTTGCAGGAGACAGAACTGGCACCAGACACCACCTCCTCACGCATGGTGGCTCTGTGCTGGGCTGATGCCTCACTCCACCCTGTCAGGAGACGCCTAGCTGGGGACAGGAGGGGGAGGACAGGTGGGCATGCTGCGGGCAGCATCTTGGGGAGTGCCAGGTCCCTGCTCACTTGGGGCCCAGGCACTCCACGACTCCGTTCCCCTTCATGCCATCAAAGAAGTTGTTGTGAGGAGGGTCGCGCTCTGACAGGGCCTTAACAATTTCCTGTGCTAAGATCCCTCCAACCACTCCACACACTGGGGCCATCTCAGAGAAGCAGTACCTGACAAAGTCGTTGGGAAGCAGGTCAGGACTCACACCCAGAGAGTCAATGACATCATTCCGAATGTGAAGCAGCAACTCAGAATCTTCCTTATAGGTATCAGAATTAGGATCTCTTCCTTTATCTGTGCGGAATTTCAGAAGCACTTGCAGGAGAAAGTAATCGGAGGTTGTGTGCTTCAGGGTGGCCTTTGCTTTCTCACTGCTCCAGTTCACCTCCAGCGCCTCCTTGTCAGGGCAGAAAACCACCTTCTTTTTGACCATTGTAGTCTCAGAGGAATCAAGGTTTGCTCTGTTGGTGTCAGGTCCATCTTCTACTCCTTGACTAACTTTGGCAACTTTGGTTTTCTCCTCTACAAACTCATGCTCTCCAAGATTGGCAAATGTGTATCCATGGTAGCCAAAAACATCTCCTGTGAAGAATTTGATGCTGTTTTTGTGACAGATCTGGTCAACATTAACTATGACATCCTTGGAACAGCATGTTAGACACACCGCATCAAATTGAGTGAAAAACGACTCAGGTTTCTTCAATACTCTCAGTGTCCACTTTCACATCCACCATGGGGTTGAGATTCTGGGCTCTTTCCAAAGAGGCTTCAGCTCTATTTCGACCGGTGGACCCAGTATGAATGAGGAACTGAGCTCCAGGATCATCGTTTCCGAGCGTCCAATCCCCACAGACGAATCTGCGGATCATACTGTCCCGCCTCTTCCTCGCTAATGCCGCCACCGACCTCCTCCTCCACCATGGCGCGGGCTCTAGCGGCCGCCGCTCTCAAGTCCCAAACCAACAGCCTCTCTTTTGTCTTATGTTTAAGATATTTAATTATACATTAATGCAATTACTGATATTTGTTTAAATATTATATATTACTGTGTCTATTTTAAGTTCGTTCGTTCTTTCGTTCTTTCTTTCTTTCTTTCTTTCTTTCTTTCTTTTTCTTCAGATAGCATATTACTGTGTAGTTTAGACTGGCCTTGAACTCATTGTGTAGCCCAGGATGGCTTTGAGCTCACAGTGATCCCCCTGCCTCAGCCTCCCGAGTGCTCAGATCACAGGTGTATACCACTATGCCTGGCTTTGATTTTTTTTTTTTTTTTTACTATTTCCATAGCTTTATTTTTTCCAGGATGTC